AATCTAGCATGCAGTTCTCAGGGTTATATATCATATAACATAACATAACAAGTATGGGTATCTTGGGGAAAATTTACTTGAGCTCGGTTGGTCGCACGCATAACACACCTTGTTCTTTTTCAAACTCTTTTTTCATAGATTTAGAAAATCATATCTTTAGAAAAAAAAATATCCTTTAGCCCCACGGTTTGAGTCCAGACACCCTCGAGGGTGTGTCCAAATCCCTCAAACCAGGGCTCTGATACCAACTTGTAACATCCCAAAATTCAAGGCCAAAAATTTCGTTTTTGAATAGATTATAACATAAAACCCATCAATATAAAAGCATTCATAACGATATCTCATGTCACAATCAATACATCAATAATCCACAACATCTCACCATAAAAACCATTTTGTCCAAAAGTAAAATAATTCATAGTAGACACCCAAGAAACTCCATGCTGAAAACATGTGTGTGTGTGTGTGTGATGCGCTGCTACACCGTCGGCTCCTTCCCTTTCAGACGAAGAGGTAGCTGAAACCAAAACTGAAATTGTAAGCACGAAGCTTAGTGAGTTCCCCCATCATACCCATAGTACATAGTTATCGATATCTTTCAACCGGTAACCGAGAGCTACCCTCCCCTTCGGTATCATTCAACCGGTAACCGGGAGCTACCCTCCCCTTTGGTATCTTTCAACCGGTAGCCGGGAACTATCCGCCCCTTCGGTATCTTTCAACCGGTAACCAGGAGCTACTCTCCCCTTCGGTATCTTTCAACCGGTATCCGGGAACTAACCTCCCATTCGGTATCTTTCAACCGGTATCTTGGGACTATTTCACCCCTACCCCTATCACATATTACATGTCATAACATATTGGTTTCATGATAACATACATAGGCATAGTGAGTCACATAATGACATATCATAAGCATAAAACTATACATGCGTGGGTTTTGTCCACCCCTTCGGTATCTTTCAACCGGTAATCGTATTCGGTATCTTTCAATTGGTAACCAGGGGCTAGCACGCCCTACTACTACTAAGAAATACTCAGCACATATATAGCAATCAGACAATTATCACAAAGATAACCATCTCAGCCGTAATCTCCTACTGGTGGGTCGGCATTGGTGTCGTAGACCCACCCTACTGGAAGGTAACTCACCTCGTAAGGCTGATTGTTGAAAAGTTGATCGACAGATGTTCGACTGTTGCTCCGGTGATCCTTGTACTATAATTCCCATAAAACACTTAGTCATACACTGATAACTGTTCTTAGGGTAAAATGACTATTTTACCGCTGACCAAGTCAAAGTCAAAGTCAAAGTCAACTTCCAGTTGACCTGACTCGCCGAGTTGGGCCTCCAACTCATCGAGTCCCTACCCTTCATCCGCCCTTCTTCACGCTTCTACTCGTCAAGTTTAGCAATGATTCAATGAGTTCTCCTTCTAAAACAACCTCGAATGAACCTTCATCCGACTCGCCGAGTTTTACGAACAACTCATCGAGTTCATCCTCGTCCTTCAAACAGTCATGTCCTTGACTCGCCGAGTTGTATAAATAACTCGTCGAGTTCATCTTCAAAAGTTGGGAGATTGCCTTGGACTCGCCGAGTCTGCTCATGCACTCGTCGAGCCCTATAAACTCCAGGTCTATGGCTAAGTCCAATACGTTGGTTCACTCCTTTGGACCCTCTAAAACCCTTCTAACACTCAACTAGGTTCCTTTGAACCCTAACAAAAAACAGGGGTCAAGCCTCGGATTCGTCGAGTCCCAAGAACAACTTTTCGAGTCAAGGTTGTTCAAGTCCCATTTCTTGATTTCTGATGTACAACACTTATCCAAAAGATAGATCTAGGCTCCTAAGATCGATCTAGCATGTAAAGTTACAGACTTTACGTGCATGTATGGGAGAATAAGCTTAAAAGGCTCTAAAAGAAACTCTTAAAATGCATGGGGCTTTCTAAGACCCCAAAGTCAGTCACTTTATGTCTTGTAGTCCCCTAAGGACCTTGGATCTGGAGTCTTAGCCTCAACCATGCTTGCACTCATAGTTGGTCACCAAGAATGGCTCCTTAAAGCCCTAATTTACTCCAAAAAGGGATCTACACCATGAATGAGCAAGGTATAAACTTTATACCTCCAAAGAACTGTAGATGCAGCACAAACTCGGGATCTTTTGATTTGCTCTTGGCTCTTCAAGCTTTTCATTCCTTCTTGTGCTCACAAACCACCAAAATCCACCAAAGAGGCCTTAGATCTTCACCAAAGGCGATTAGGGTTTAATGTGAGGTGTTTTCAGAGCATGGTGGACGAGAGAGGCTGAATAAGATGTTTAAATAGGGTGCAAACCCTTGGATTAGGGTTTTGTCCTGACATGGTCTACTCGTCGAGTCTTGCTGCTGACTCGACAAGTCTGCCACTTATCCCCCGGGTCCAAGTCGCTTCTACTCGACGAGTTGGGCCTTCAACTTGCCGAGTCCATTCCAAAATGTGAAAAATACTTGAATGAGATACATACCAAGAACCGGGTGCTACAAGTGGGGATGATGAGGTGGATAATATAGGTGTATATGGGTGGGATGGATGAGCGGGTAAAAATGGGATTGGGGATGGTGGTAGGTTGGGGTGGTTTGTAAAAAATTTACAAGACACTTAGAGGTTGTTTGTTTTTCTTTTATATATATATATATATATATATATATATATATATATATATATATATATATATATATATATATATATATATATATATAGACACACACACGTGTTCCGTGCGGCGCAGGTAAATTATATATATATATATATATATATATATATATATATATATATATATATATATATATATATATATATATATATATAATTTACCTGCGCCGCACGGAACACGTGTATCATTTGGTCTTTCACAACTCTTTGTTTTTTAAAAGACTTTCGACTTAAAAATTGTTGTGCAGCGCCACACTGGACCCTTCTGACCTGGTGGCGCAACACTGAACCCTTCTCTTCAGACCAATGATGGAGCTTCAAATTTTCATTTGGGGACCGAAAATATTATATATATATATATATATATAACAATTGGTGAGCAGGAGATTCATAGTCAAAATTTTATATTTTTAAGCATAATATTTATAAAAATAAAGTATAGGGATTATATTTTTGGGCATATCATCCAAATGATCTTTATATTCGATTATAATATAATTGAAACTAAATAAAATTTATATTTAGAATTATTTTTAACTATTATATGGTTAATTTCAGTTTAATTATATCAGCAGTTTGTAGACGTTAAAAAACAAACTCTTTATTATAGTTTGTAGACGTTTGGTCCACATCTTGTGCTACAAAGGGTTGCTGAAGTGGTTCACAGATTACAAACATTTTGTTTTGAAAAAACAAACGCCTTAAAAAGATGTATGTAATAATAATACTAATTGTCATTTCTATGTTGATGACTTATAAAATAATAGGGTGACAATCGTATCATGTTTGGGTTGGCATATCATTGGTTGACAGATCAAAACATCAACCCAAACGCAACTTGTATAATTAATCGTGTATCTAACCATAACACAACCTATTTAATTATCCGATTTTGTAGTTTTGTGGGTCATAAGGAGGATTGTGGGTTATAAACAAGTTTGTGGGTCATAAACAGGCTTTAGGAAACAAACTAACTGATATGAATAAAAAGATGCGTCTAATGACCAAATTCATGTATTCACATAACAAAATAATCACACAAATAAAAAGTTAAAAGGTTAAAAACATTCATGCCACAGCCGATGAAGAACGAAGATGCAGTGTGTTGCGTAATGCATATGCCGATAGTATGAAAAGAAAAAGTGAAGTCTCGTTCAAGAATAGGGCAATCAATCGGGAAGAGAAAAGAAAAATAATAACTAATAAATAAAATAAGAAATGTGAAACATTGTTTTTTAACCTAAATAATATACGGGTCGGCGGGTTGACCCACAAACCCACCTACCAATCCGAACACGATCCATATAATAAATAGGTTACGCAAGTTGGCAGCCAGAAAACTTAACCTAAACTCGTTTTTTTCCTTGTTTTTCATTTTGTATCGATAATTGTCACCCATATAAAAAATATATATATCCAAAACATTGTGTTTATTTTATTTTATTTTTTTGGACAATGTTACCCGCAAAATTAATTTCATTAAGGGTTTCATTAAAAATCAAACACACACCAAACAATTGGGTATATCTAAAATTTTATATAGTTAAATCAACTAAGTATATAAAATTTTATATAGTTCAAAAAAAAAAAAAAAAGCTAAGTTTACAATACCGAAGCATATCCAACGTAAATTCAGCTTCCACGCATGTTCATGCAGCTATACCTAATAATCACTCAAGTGTTTGACCATTTTTTAGTTTACTTTTAGCCCACGTTCAAGCAAGATTAACTATTAAGTAGTTTACCAAAAACACCCTCAACCAAGTTAGCAGAAGCTGGTCAACTCAGACTTTCTCTCTTTAAATTTCAAGGGCAGAATCGTCTATTCATACACCCAGTGTAGAATTCAAGTTAGGCTGACAATCACCACCTTATAGTCAACATGCATGCACCCTTTTCTTTCTCCTTGCCGTTTAGTCATTTACAAAAAACACCTTCAATAAAACTTATCATATCCTTGTCGACCCAGCTTGCAAAAGGGCACAATCGTCTATTCACACTCCTGGTGTAAGATCCACAGTAAGCATACTTTAGGCACTATTCAAGCAAAACTTTCTATCATCATACCACCTGATGTATGATTCAAGTTAGGCTCAAAATCACCATTTTTTCTTCTTTCTCCTAGCAAATTACCAAAAACACCCCCCGAAGGTGGTAACATGGCTGCATCTTGACAGGTCCCAAGGGGACAGATTCGTCTTTTCGCACTTCTCTTCAAGAATGAAAAAGGTCCAAAAGTGCAAGATATACACATCCAATAGGCTTTATATCTAACAAACATTTAACAAATTCCATATCTCAATATGAAGAATGTAATCGTTTTATCTTTCATCTTCATTGCGTTCTTGTTCACTTTAGCATCCATCAATGAAATCCAATTCGATCATCTATCAAGCATCAAAAAATGTGCCGCCTCAACATCATCTTCCTCAAACAACTCTGTTCTTCCCATGAAATCACCGGAAAACGACATCAGAATCCTCCTCGGAATCCCAACCATGGCGGACCATCACGATCGCCGCCACTTCCTCCGCCTCATTTACGGGACCCAATCGGTGGTGGGAGCAAAAATCGATGTCAAATTTGTCTTCTGCAACCTAACAAAAGAAGACCAAAAAGTCCTAGTAGCGCTTGAGATAATACAACACAACGATATCATAATCTTGAATTGCAAAGAGAATATGGATAAAGGTAAGACCTACACTTACTTCTCAAGCTTGCCAGATATGCTAAAACCCGATTCCAATTCTGATTCCGATCCTTACCCGCCATACCATTATGTGATAAAGGGCGATGACGATACGTATTTCCGGTTGCAAAAATTGGTGGACACGCTGATTCCGTTACCGAGAGAGGATTTATACTACGGGTATGTGATTCCGTGTCCTAGTATGGATCCATTTGTGCATTACATGTCTGGAATGGGGTATTTGGTGTCATGGGATATAGTTGAGTGGATAAAGGAATCTGAGATTCCGAAGAGACATTTGGTGGGGCCGGAAGATAAAATTTTTGGGGAGTGGATGAGAGAGGGTCGACGTGGGAAAAATCGGTTTAATGCCAAGTGGCATATGTATAACTATCCAGAGCCACCAACAAGGTGTACACATGAACTTTGGCCAGATACGGTTGCTGTACATCTTTTGAAGACACAAGAGAAGTGGATTCGGACTTTGTCGTATTTTAATGTTACACAAAATTTAAAACCTTCAAAAATGTACCATATATCCTAGCTTACAATGGTGGTATGTTACATTCTAACCATTTTTTCATTTTAAGAAATAAAAGATTTCATTTTTTGGTAGTTTGTAGTTCTTATGTTTCTATAACCACTATATATCTTTTTGATATTTCACATACTAAGGCGATATAAAGATAAAGGTTTCAACATCACTTTGCTACAAGAGTGTACTTAATAGGAAAAAAGAAAACGACAAGTATAACTTGAGCAGCAACAACAAACAACTGCAAAAAAACAACCTAAAAATGTGATCATGGATTATTAAGCTGAGAGAAGTATCATTCACAGGACTACAATTAACGCCCCATGCTTCCATCAAAATCTAACATACAAACAATTTGCATGTATTCCCGTTACACCAAAATCAAAATCGGGTCAACTTTTCCCAAATAAAATTCGACATCAATCAATATCAATATAATACCCTTTTGATGAAATCTCATCATTTCATAATCTCCAAAACAATTTCATAAAAGCTTACCCCAAAAAAAAGAAACACCAAACCAAACCATATTCAAGGCTTCAAAGCCAAAGCAAGACCCCACTTGGGTCCCACTTCACTTCTCTTGGCATCATACTCTGCAGAGAAAGTAATCAACGATTTGGGCCGCCATTCCCGTTGGCACACCATGGCGAGTTTTCCGTTATCTGAGAACCGGGTTTTAACCGTGTTGTAACGGTCTACAACATGTGAGCTTCCGATTGTGAAGCTGTTTTCCAACGTGTTTAATCTGTGTGTCATTTCAGCAACAACTTGACTAGTGTTTGAGGTGTTCACTGAGTGTACGTAAGATGCCTTCAATGTTTGCCCTTTATCTGTCCTGCAGTTGTTGTATACACAGTTTTAAGTTTTAATATCTTTATAACATGAATACAATGTTTATAGCATATGTAGTTCATGTTGTATAGAAAGATTTAAAATAGTGCAAGAATAACTTTTATATCTTCAAAATTATGTTATTAAAAAGTGCAATGAATTTCAGCTTAAAAAGAACAGGTTTGTTATACGTACAGCATAAGGGCGGCAGAAAGATCGGGTTTGTTGAAGCTGATTCCGGCGGTGTACTTGGTGAAAGAAGCGGAGGCGGTGTCGAATCCGACTTCACCTCCAAGAAGTATGTCACTGCCGCCAACTGCCGCCGCCAGATTTAGAACCGGAGAAGGGTTCAGGCCGATACTGGAATCAATGGCGACTCGAGGATGAAGGTACTGCACATCAAGCTGAGAGTACAAGTGTAAACAAGTTATGTTAGTTTATTTATAGAGCTATAAGATTATGTGAATTTAAAGAAAAATGATTATTAACCTTCCCGGATTTATGATCAGGGACATCGAAGCTTAATACTGCTTTTGTACTTGGCATTACTTCATGAACAGTTACTTTTGTTGAGACCTGTATGATGGAAAAATAAATAATTATATTGTTGCAATTTTTTTAGAAACCAAGGGTAAAATTGTCAGTTCTTACATTTGAATATGTATCAACTTTTACATCTACGATAGTCCTGCCACTCTTGTACTGAGCACTTATATCTCCAAGAAATATTTGACCTTTTTTCAAACCAGTAGCAGTCAGTCCCTGTAAGAACGTAAGAGTTTGCTTAAATGTAAAATATAGCAACTAACTCTAAGTCATTAATTGATTTGTTTGTTATAAAATGCTACTTTCTTTCCTTCTTTTTAAAAGCAAAATACCATGATAAGAAAAAAAATAATAACTTGTTAAGGAAAAAAAATGAAAGAACAAGGTTGTAATAGAAAGGAGTGGATGCTAGACATAAATGATGATGAAACTCATACCATGGGGGTAGATCCAGGAACTGATAATACAAACTTGTGGTCATAGTTGTAATCTTTGGTCAACAGATCTGCATGAAGCAAGACAACTTATTCAGCTAAATTCTTTGTTGAATTCATTGGATGACAAAAACAAACTCATATATAATCTTATCATCTTAATCCACCTCTTCTCTGAAAATTTATTCACTACAATCCAATGAACATTTAAAAGATTTTAAACATAGAACTCTTACTATTTTCTTATAATTTTATAATTTATGTTCAAAACTAATATAACCTAATATTGTTTTTAGAAGATAATTTAACACTGCAGGGAAAAATATATAGTGTTTGACTTTTTCCTTTAAAGATATTGATGTAATATGACATGAAAAGTAGTGTAAAAGGTTGAAAGTTTTGGAGTAGTTTTGATCAACTTATGATTGCAGGTCTCCAATCCCATGAACTTTTTAGTTGACAAAAAAAGGAAAGAATCTACGGCAGTACTAAATGATGTTTTTTACTATTTCTGCCAAAAAGTGAAAATTGACATTTTTAGACGTTCTTTAAAGCCATATTTGTCCATTAAAAAAGAAGATTGCTAGCACAGAAGTAAAGTTTTTAAACAAGTCCAAATTTACACTTTCGTCACTCAGGTTTAGAAAACTAATTAACAAACCCCTACCAGTTCTAACAAGGTTAAGAAAATTATTTAGCAAAATACCCAATAACTTCAACAACTCTTTGATAGTATAAATACCCAATTCATTTATGACTTCAAAAACATTTACAACAATACAACTTCAAAGTCATTACACGTTATGCTATACTAAATTCTTTTGATTTTTCCCATTAGCAATCATGTGTGCCTACAACTTTCAGTTTACAAACTTGCAAGATGAACTTTGTGCTTTATTTGTTTATACATTGATCAAAACACCTCGAGTGATTGCACTCAAGTTTGTAATTTGTATCGGTTTATACTTCAACTAAAAGAGTGTTCTAATGAACACCAAAAAATCTTGACTTTTTAGGACCAAACATACGGCAAGAAATCTAAGCCAGAAATAACTTTATTGTATGTTTTATATTATTGAACTGGGAAATTCTCCTATTCATACCTCCCTAGGTTAAACTTGCAAATTTGTAACTCATATGAGAGCACAAAACCATGGTTAAGAATGAGGATGCAAACAATGTCAATGTGGTGCTTTTTCTCAACCAAGCATTGGGGTAACAATATAAGCCATCAAATGAGACCAAACCCATCAAAATTAAGTGTATGTTTTCATGTCCCCAGAATCCATCAACATCTAAGTACATAAAAACTCTTAAGCAATCTTGAACAGCATTATAGTACTTAAGGTAAAAATATACAGAAAGTAAATAACAAACGAATGGAATTATATGTTGTGCAAAAAGGGAAGAAGGACTAGTTAAGTGTTGTTGGTGTAAGACTGTGTGTTTTATAGACAGTTAAGAAAGTATATATAATGTGTGAGATTACATTTGCAATTTAAATCATCATACATAGCCTTGTGTATAAGAACTATGAAATGAAGGCTTACCTTTTGCCCGTTTGCCAATATCTGAGAAGGGTGCTGGCCCATTGCCCATTGTGAAATTAGAATTGAGGTTGCTACTCAAAGCTTTCAATCACAACCTGAGAGCCATGTCAAATGTTAACAGAGCAACACAATCATATGACAGAAAGAAAAGGTGTCTACATAGAAAATTTGCCCCTAGTTAAAACTACACATGAATAGGTTTCAATTAAGCCAAAAAAAAAACCTCCAAAGTTCTCAAGGCAACAAAGCAATCATAAGGATCTTACATACGAAAATGCCAGTCCAGGGCTCCATTCATTCATAAGGCATAACGTCTACCACCTTGAATGCATGGGTACAGATGCTTGTAAGTTGTATCGGGTGCATAGGTTCAACAGGTTAAATAACCAAAATATGATGCAACCCATGGAAGCGTGTACATGTTTGTGTTGATGCTAAAATAACTTAGAAATACAACACAATCAAGTATGTACTTTGTAGACTGATATCAAAATAATCCATGAACCTTTATTGTAACCATGACACAAGAGATGAAGGCGTCATAATGAATAAAGTGCTATTTAGAGAGTCTGAATGTCAATGCTAAGTCCTTAAACTACAGAAGATGTCCAATAATTTGGTACATTTTATCTCGATCTAGGATTTGGAGTAGAAAACCAAATTCAGAACCAACAACATAAGAGAAAATCGAACATATATCAATGGTCACTTTCAATCTCATCCTTCCTTTTTCAATTATCTCCTTCCTCTAACGGTCTGTAACTCTGGTTTCTCTATGCCCCTAAGTTCATCACTCGTTTGATTTGAATATCAATATTCCACAAGGCGATAAAAATACTTAAACACTCAGCAAGAATTAGCATCATAATCCTCCACAGTAATTAGGAAACCACCAGAATTTACAAATAAGTCTACGATATTATTACAGATTTCAGAATACTTCAAAACAATCAGCAGTTTTCAACGGCAAAGGTATCATATCAATATCATCAAACGTCAATTGATTAGACCGAATTACTAGCAAATTTACAAGAACATCCTATCAGGAAAACTTCTACTTGGATAAATTGTAGGATATATATAACAGAATGTACTTACATACACAGATGTATGGATAGGAGACGTACAACGCCAATCGAGCTGGAGCAATGAACGACGCACTTTGGTCAGATTTTCTTGAGAGAGAAGCGCGGACTCTCTGCAAATTAGGGTTTTTATTTTCTACGGATTTTTATATTTATCTCGCGTCAGAGTCGACTCTCGAGATTCTTTGATGGTCTTGGCAAAGTGTGCCTTGCTATCGTGCACCGCAGATGCGATCAGCCGTCCAGATCGATCGGCTATTCAAGTCCAAAACAGAATCGTTCTTATCAAATTTACATGGCCTTTTGCTCTACTTTAAAGAGCATTAAACAATTAATGTTAAAAATTTTGGTGGATGATTTAAAAATAGGATATCGACGAAAAATGATCGTTGTTAATGAAGTATTAAGCTGAATGACTATTTTTTTTATTTATTTTTGTAAAGATATCATTTTCGTTGGAGCATCTTATAAACACGACATTTGGAACAAATATACATTCTGAGACGTCACATACTCCGTTATGAATTCATGTAACAAATTTATTATTTCCCACCTACAAG